TAGTATATCTTAAAGGCCCTGTACTTTAGTATATCTTAAAGGCCCTGCACCATAGTATATCTTAAAGGCCCTGTACTTTAGTATATCTTAAAGGCCCTGCACCGTAGTATATCTTAAAGGCCCTGTACTTTAGTATATCTTGAAGGTACTGGACTGTAGTATGTTTTAAAGGCCCTGTACTTTAGTATATCTTAAAGGCCCTGCACCGTAGTATATCTTAAAGGCCCTGTACTTTAGTATATCTTAAAGGCCCTGCACCGTAGTATATCTTAAAGGCCCTGCACTGTAGTATATCTTAAAGGCCCTTCACCATTGTATATCTTAAAGGCCCTGCACCATAGTATGTCTTGAAAAGCCCTGCACCGTAGTATGTTTTAAAGGCCCTGCACCGTAGTATATCTTACAGGCCCTGCACTGTAGTATATCTTAAGGGCCATGTACCATAGTATATCTTAAAGGCCCTGCACCATAGTATATCTTACAGGCCCTGCACTCTAGTATATCTTTAGGGTCCTGCACTGTAGTATATCTTAAAGGCCCTGCACTGTACATCAACGCTGTCTTTAGAATTACTCTACCGCTTTTCTGTTTAGTGGTCATCCCTATGGAGACAGGAGGCAAGTCTGCTGCAGATTCACTTCTTCCCATCGTACAGAGTCAAAGAGAGAGGTACAGACTCCGCGCTCAGGAACTAGAGGCGGTGAGTAGACACACAGTGAAATCTTTTAAGTTCACAAACCACTGTAACTTTTTATACTTTATGATATTTCCCAATCCATAACCATGACACACGATTGTTGTTTGTTTACAGCATTCCCTGGGACAACAACAACAAGTCACTCTGCTACAGAATGAGATTGATAAACTGCGCTCCGACAACGTGAAGCTGTTCGAGAAGATACGCTTCCTTCAGAGTTACCCCACCAAGGTAAATAGTGTTTGGACTAGGATTTTATTCAGATCAAATTTCCTTTGGCATTTATTGAAAAGCAGCATGCAAAATACTTAAGTTCTGTCATCATAACTTTAGAAGATCTTAAGCCTCAAATAGCATATGAATAAAAGAAAGAATTTGTTATCAAGCCATACAATTTTAGCTATATTGGCATGCTGTGTTACAATCCAGTCTCTGTGTCTATTGTA